TATACTTCTTCTATCACCTTTTTATGTTTACTTTCAGTTGAGATACAAACGATTTCTCTTGGGATTCGGTAGTGAAGGTTGTAGCATCACAATAGTCAGCAGTAGGATGAGCAGACAGGAACACTGTGAAAGCAGCTACTGGTATAATATTGTACTCAGCTTACTGCACAATATCTACTAAGGTGGTTCTAAATGGTACCCAAATACCTCTGCGTGTCATTTGGAGACATCCGTGCTTCTTGTTCTTGGCCGTTAAGCTCGTAATATGCTGACGGATTTCAGTCACCTTACCACTTAAAATCACTTTTTGCAGCCACAGTGCTAAAAGAATGCAGGCAATACCTTCTTTTTACTCAGTAAAAATGTCCAAAAAATGTCTGTTCAAATTAAGAAAAAGTGGATTGGGTAGTTTTTTCAACAAAAATCTTCTCGATTGGCTTGTGAGGGGCCTGTTAAAAAATAACACAACTCCTAATAGTTTAAACCTTTTGAAAGAAGCTCACATTGAAGGACTAATTTCATAGTTTCTCAAATTAAGAAAAAAATAATTAAAATGACCATGATTAAAAAACTCCGAAATTATCAACATTGCCAAAAAAAGCTTAAACTTAATACTAAGCAAAAACACATAGAACTAACTCAACTTTAATTCTAAAGAGATGACACAGAGAAGTGATGTAGCAAAGATTTTCACAGCAAGAGTTCAGTCTTTATGTGGAATCACTAACAATTCCACCTATCAAAATATGACAAAACTTAAACAAAAAATTATCAGCAAAACTTGAAATTTTGAAATGCCAAAGATTTGTTTATTGTTAAGTGCAAAGCTACACAATGGGCTATCTGTGCTGTGCCCATCATGAGTGGCATTGAAACCAAGTTTTTTTGTATTATAAGTCTTCAGACTTACCATTGAGTTACTGGGAGGTAGTGCCAAAGGAATAACCATACATCAGATGGCCAGAGCCACCAAGAGGTAAACATCATTAATTTAGAGATATATATATAATGGTGGTAAATGATATGATATTTTGTTTGCAGGATCGATTCATTAATATCAAATGCTGTGATAACTATAATTCAGGTTTAATGATAGAGTGAGTTTTTTCTTTTTGTAGGTAGCAGTGATACATAACACTTTTCACTTTTTTAGAATTTTTTTTAAGTAACACTGTAAAAATGTTTCTTTGAAAATTATCTAATTGTAAGTCGTACTTTAACAATGAAAAATTAAAGAGTTTTGCTATGTGAAACAATTTTAAAACCTTAAATTTCAGAAGAGAAAATCTTAATAAATTAATTTGTGAAGAGAGACTACAGTTACTTTCTTTTAAATTTAGGTGGAACCTGGTTATGTTATTAATTGGAAATACTATTTTTCTTTCGTTTTTTTTTTTCACTATTTTTTAAATACACTAATGGTCAGGCAGTCAGCATAAAACGTAAAACTCAGTAGCAAGATATCAGTAATTGTTTTCTTCTCCTTTCACTATATATAACTAAAATGGAGTTGTTACAAACAGAGAGTAATGGTTAAACATTAATGAAAGTTTGATAATCTAGTGTTTTGTACTGTTCTTTTATTGTATTTTATTTTTTTTACTTTATTACTTTAAAAAAAATCTCATTTTTAGCATTTTACACATGAAGTTCTTAAACATTTGTTTAATTTCACATCTTTATCAACTTTAATATGTGAAACGTATTTCATATAAATTCAGTTTAGTACTAATTTTGTAAGTTATATATTCTGTGAAGGTAAAAATGACCTAATAGAAATCCATGCATTTTTAATTTGTGTGTATGGACTAAAATAACTTATCTGTTGAAGCTGAAGCACTGTGTTAATTAGTTCTCCCCTGGTTTTTCACTGTACACAAAGAAAGATATACCACAGTTTTTAGCTAGAGCTGAATGAACTGGTACTATTGAAAACAAATGTTTTTTAGTTTATAATCAGAATACAGTTATACTAATTTACCACACCTCAAAGTCAATACTGAATATGTATAAAACACTAATAATACATTCCATATCACATTGAATTGTGGCTCTGTGTCAAGTAGAAAAGTGATTGTTATATTTAGCAATTCAGTGAATTTTATGTTAACCAGGTTAAATTTGTGAATAGTGTTCTGTCTGAAGAGCTCTTAACAAGGCACACAGTTTTCCTCGTATCTTCATTATTTCTCTGACTTTTTTAATGAAACAACTGAAAGTTGAACCTTGAAAGACTAGCTTTAATAATATGGAAGTAATTAATCTTTTATATTTTTAAACTCATTACAGTAACCTTGTAGGTATTTGAATCAAGGCAAACACGAAGATTATAATACACTTTTCAGTGGATAATTTCGTACACTATAATATTTTATTATCACTTGGAAACAAAGAAAATATATATCTGGGTGAACAGTGCCTAAAGTTGCATGGGCATGCCTGATTTTGTATACTAGTGGGTCCACTATATTCTCCTTGTTAACATGAACAAGTACTTACAGAAACTGAAAATTTGAGTAGTGTAAGAGCAGTAAATAAATATAGCTGACTCAATGATTATATATATATATATAAGGGGTGCATATCTTACCGTTGTAATCAATACGATACACTATGTAGATATTGATACAGCAGTACAGTACGTATATAGATACAGAAGTTTTATCAACTGTTTGTTACAAAGTTTGACAGTCTTGTCCATAATTGATTATCTATATTACTAACATTGTCTTATTTAAGTACCTTACACTTTACAGTGCTTTTTTCAAATTCTCAGGTTTGATCAACTAAGTGGCAGCTGGCAAGAAAAGTAAAATAAAAAAATGTTAATATCTGTCTACTTATTTTGTTATTGTTATGTTACTTTGCATGTAATGTTTCGATAAAAGTGAAGACAACATGTAGTACTCAATACTCATCTTGCTTTATTGAATCATTAATTTTTAGCAAAAATACTTTATTAGAAATTCTGATTTTTTCTGTACAAAAGACTTATAATGTTTACTGAAAGCTTGCCAAATTTCATGAAGATACATGAATATATACAGTTGTATCACAGCTTCAAGATGTGTATAGCTGTATCATCACACCTTTAATATATATTTACATATATGTATACTTACATGAATATATATATATATATATATATATATATAACAGTGATCTGGTGAATTATGTTGACTGTATTGTGGGCTATTCAAACTGCACAATTAATCTACATTTTGAGTCTACATCAGTACCAAAATACAGTTGCAGCCAAAAGTGTTGACATCCTTAACTAAATATTCGATAATTCAGAGTAACTATTAGTGCAAGTATTTATTAATCTTTAATTGATTTTAAAGAAAATAAGAAACATGCTGTAATTGTGTAAGAACTAAGTTTTCTCAAGAACCATTGAAACTGAAATAAAGATATTTGTGCATGTCAAAGTATTGGCTCCCATGTGTCAGTATGTCGTGTGTGTGTCTTCCTTTTGCCTTTATCACAGCTTCTAAATGTTTTAGATAGTTATTATTACATTTTGTTTGTGAAATCTGAAACCATTTTGTTTTGAATACTTCCTTGTGTTAAGGTAAATCCAATACTTTATGTTTGGTTAAAACTATTTTTAGATCAAAATGCTTTAAACTGATCAGATTGAAATGAGGTTATTGTGAAAGTCAGTACAAAACTTTTATTTTCCATTCTTTCATGAAAAAGTTTTGTATTTAGATGTATTTGTACAGTTCTTTCTTGTACTGATATGCTAGATTTTGCCAGGTTCTTCTTCAAATCCTTGGCTGTAAAACTTGAATTCTTTAACAATTCTCCTACATATTACAATCCTAATATTTCTGGAACATCCACTTTCTTCCATCATTTCAGTTGAATTAGTTTTCTGAAACTTCTTGATGATTGCTCTGATTGTTGATTTTACTATTACAGATTTCTTTGACAGCTCTACTTCTATTTCCTTTGCTCATTAACAAATGTTTTTCTCGTATCTGGATCCAACTTCTTTGTTTTGACCGTGAAGTGCTAAGAATATAAACTGCTTTCCTTCAGTTGATGTTGAAAAGAATTGTGTGTGTCATGGTATGGGTAATGATGTTATAATGTAGCTACATTAATAAGTAGTGGTATAAATGTATGAATGGTGTTTTATCTAGCCCAATTAAGATAAACCTTAACTTACATGAACTTTAAATGAAAATTTGCAGATACCTTTGTCATGTACAAATATTTTCATTCACTTCAGTTGTGGTTGTTTTTTTTTAATCTTAGTTCTTACATGACAATAACTTATGTATTTTATTTAAAGTTAAAGATCATTAAATGTTTGCACTAATCGTTATTTTCAGTTATGATTAAGGGTACCAGTATTTTCATCTACAACTGTAATATACTGTTTAACAATATTTTTAAGCAGTTACTGTGATTTTTCTTACATAGAAGGAAATTATAACCAACCTCCAAATGTATGAAAGGAACTTATAAACTTTCTTAAAAGTGTTCTCATTCCCCGTATTTGTTGCCAAAAATTCTGTTTTTAAACTACAGTATAAAATGTGTTTAACCTATGATATACTAGCTTATGTTCTTTTTACATAACATTGGTTAGTTGATATTATATATCTATATATAATTTTTTGTATTTATTAATTTTTCGCCATTTGATTAAGTTTAATTACTTGCTTCTGATATATAAATAGAGTTTAAGACTAATATTTCAACTGTTTTTTACTTTAAGCAGATGTTTTGATGAGTTACACCCTTTAGAAACTATGAATTTTATGAACATTTCAAAAATACTTATTATGGTGCATAAAATAAGAAATATTAATATAAATATTAATAGCTTTATAGTATGAGTGACAAAAATTTAGAATTAAGTAGCACAGACATTCTACTGAATTGAAAATTTATCAATAATTCTGTTCCAATTTGACTTGAATGATGATTTTAACTTGCATGATTACATGAGTAAATACATCAAGTATATTTGTTCATAATACTAGGTAATCAGCAGAGCTTGCCCATGCCTCCTAGACCATCAAGCCAGTCTGATGGCAGTGGTTGTAACAAAATGAATCCATTGACAATGGGTAGTCAAAGTAAGTTGATGAATTATTATGATAGTTCTAATAATAAAACTTGTTAACAGGTAAATAACAAGTAGTAAAAGCAGGATAGTTAACAGAGTTCTGATGGTGCAGTATTAATTGCAGTACTACTTAATGTAACCACATAAAATTAATCAATAATAAGAGAAGTTACTAGTTTAATACCATAGCTTAACAATAGCGTTTGTATACAGGTGGTAAGTTTGACTTTCATTTTCAGATTAAACTGAAAAACTTTTTAACTAGTTTTCACTGTTCAGCAGTAAAGTACTGTTTTTAATGATGTTAGTGATTACAGTGTTGATGTATTACATAAATATTACTTTTAAATTTTATTTCCATCAAATTGAAGGAAGTATTTGTTCAAAAATTTAGATTTAACCTGTTGGAGAGAGAGCATAATTTGATAACACAGGCCTGCGATGGTTTTATTGTCTTGAAACTTTTACATGTTCTAGAGTAATTTTGTTATGCTTAAAATGTTGACAACCACTGGTTATAGATTTTTTTCTAGACCAACTGCGACGTGAGAGTTTTATCGATCATTCTAGAACTCAAACATAAACATGATAATAAAAAATGTTCATTGTGGTAAACGAAATAATATTTTGATCTAAGAAAAAAATTGTTGAAATCTGCATAGCTGAATTATGGAAAATCTGTTATTAAAACCAAAACAACTTTTATGAAGTTTAAATTTGCAGGTTTTGTGTAATCATAAGAAAACATAACTAAAAGAGGGAATGCAGTTCACAATCTTTGTATCATAACATAAAATAGTAATATGATTGATTTTCACAAACAGTGTTGAAAAATGGTAATGTGATTTACACTGATTTTGAGATATTAGAACGTAGGAAGTTGTTAAAGATATTGCTTATACAAGGCTAGAAAGTGGTGATCTTGTCAAATTCTGGAAGGTGGTACTGTGGTAGGCAACTTGTTCAAGTTATATTTAACCATTGTTAGAAGAGGTATTTGTATATTTATTCCACATATAGTATATTTGTAATTGTCATAAGGTAAAGTAACCACCTATAACACATCAGAAACTATACCTCTGAAACTTGATAAAGGTTTGTTGAATGATAATTATCAAGTCCTTCTTAAAAATGTCACATAATATCAAACATAAAAAAAAAATACCATTCTTTGTTATTTAGAAAAAATTCTAATGCCCTAGTGTTAGTGGACTTATAATAACTTTGAAGTTTCCAGTGTTCTGTACCTTGTTCATTAAAAATTTATATAAGCACAAGCAAGAAAGCAAAAACGTATTCAACTAAGTTAGTTTTCTTTTTTTGTAACTGCTCAAAACTCTTTTTACATTCATTTTTTCTGTTTTAGCTCAGAAACTTAAACATGAGTTAAACATGTAAAGAATTTGACAGATATAGTTTTAATAGTAGTTTGATTTTCAATTTAGTTTTTGTTCTGTGAAGTTGACTAATATATATATATATATATTTATTATTTTTCAAGGTAATTACCCTCGACCTCTAAACTCTTTGGGTATGACTGGTTATGGTGGTCCAAGCAAAAATAGCTGTCCACCAAGTGCCTCTGGTGCTGTTGGACAACCTAGTGCTTCAAGAGTGATAAATCATGTACCAGTGCTTCAGAATTTTGGAGTGTCACCTGGCAGTGGGTATGTAAATTCACAATATAGCAGTGGGCCTCCTCAACAGGGATATGCTGCAAACAACATGATGCCTCCACCAAATCAATACCGTAAGGGTTCTGGTACACCTTTGGGAACAGGACCTCAGGCAGCTGCCCAAGCTGCTATGATAGCTGCAGCAAACACAGTTAATTCACGACCACCAGCAGTGCATGTACGTCAACATATTCAGCAAAAGATGTATGGAAATGCTGCTTACAGTAATATGCATTCACCTCAGCATCAACAGCCACATCAAGGGATTCCGGCATCCATGGCTCTCCCTGCAACTAGCAGCACCCTAGTTTCTCAGACTTCTCCCCATCAAATGGTACCTTCACCATCATCAGGAAATTGCAGCTCGAGTTCAGTTCTTGGACTCAACATTCCAAACAACCAAGAAATGTCTAGTGTAGGACCTCTTCCTTCTTCTGGCACACCATCCTCTCAGTCTTTAATTAGAAACCATAATTCTCCTATGTCTCCAGCAGCTGCTGTAATGAATGGTACAAATAGTTCCTCTCCTGGTGGTGCTGGTGGGTTTAATCAGACATTATCGCCATCTATTGGTAAGAATATAACTAATTAATTTAAAATATGTTTTTTTTCCTAATAATTTAGAAATCGTAAATACAGTCATATTGTGTGTTCTATTTGTGAAAACTTTAGTACATCTTTATCTCGGGTGATTCATACAGTAGAATATAGTTTTTTAATAAGTGTTTTTTTTTTCCTTTTACTGGGTGCTCATATTGTCAAAACAAGTATGAACTCTGTCATATATGGTTTTATCATAGTTATTCATTTTTAATGGTTAGAACATCATATATTTACCTGTAAAGCATACTTGTTGTCTTTAGGTGGAGCTAAACTTCTAAAAACTTTGTAGTAGTAAGAGACAAATATCCATCCAGAGTTACCTAGCTGGTTGACACAAAAGATTAACTGCTGAAACATTTACACCAACCATATCTTCATGAGACCACTATCCAAAGCATAAAATCTTTCTTATTATGCAATACCTTGCATCATTAGGAATGTTATCTAAAATCTTTCTTATTATGCAATACCTTGCATCATTAGGAATGTTATCTAAAATCTTTCTTATTATGCAATACCTTGCATCATTAGGAATGTTATCACTACTTGAAATGTTTTTATAATGACTCAGAACAGTTAAGAAAAACTAGCATTACTTGATATTTGAACACTAAAATTTTATATTTTTACTTATTTATTTGTGTATATTTCATTTTTGTCATCAGATCAAAAAAAGTCATAAAATGCCTAAATCATTTATGAGCAAATAAAATACACAATTTTTTATTATTGAAAAAATGATATAACAAAATTAAAGTATCATAGAACTGTCTTCAATTTCATGTTAAGCTTAAATATTGGATTTCTAATACTCAGAACATTAATCAATGAGTTGATACAAATTTGGACTCAGTTGAAAGACGTTAGTGCACTGTTTTCACACTTTTTAAACATTCAAAGCAAATATCAAGAAAAGTATTCATTAGTTATTAGGTTATTTTTCAAATTACATTTGTAATATTATCGGTTAAATTTCATAGGTTATTATACATACTGAAAAACATGTAAGGTATATTTTATATTATAACACAACACAAAATTTTAAGAGAACAATGGACCCATTGATCCTTCTAAGCCATCCTATCCACTAAACTTAACTTCAAAAAACTTAAAACAAGTCTTTATCATTCAAATATTTATCAAGCCTTTCTTGATTTTCTGCATATATCACATCACATCTGATGATAAACCATTTCAAAAGCCAGCTACATGTTAGAAAAATACAACTATTTTAGCTGAGGATGACTTCTATTTTGACATAACTTATATTTGTATTCCCTTTAACATCAACATCATCAATTTCCCTTAACAATCTTAAACATCTTAATCAGATTTCCTCTAGCTTTTTTTTTTAACCTGCCCTCATATGACAACCTTTTCATCCCAGGTATCATTCTAGTAGCTTTCCAATGAATCCTTTCCAACTTTTCAATGTCTTTCCTAAGGTAAGGATCCCAAGACTGAACATAATGCTCCAGATGTGGTCTAATAAATGATAATTTTTTCTTCCAGTTACAACCTCTACTGTAGTTACCCAAAGCATCAGCAGCCCTGTTACATCATCTACCATCATTGTGTCTGGGACAGCAGTTATTCCAACAGAAGGAGGACAACATCAACATCAAGTAGCACCTTCCATGATGTCACAGCACCATCAACCACCTGGTAGATGTTCATTTGGTGCCAACCCTCCACCCATTTTAGACGAAGGAAGTCAAGCATCCAATGCATCTGGGTCATCATCCTTACCAGACGAAAGAGGTGAAACACCAAAACCTAATCATAAAACAGCCATTTCTCATCCTCCTACTCCAAATCCTCTTTCATCACCCAATACAACCTCTATGTCCTCTTTTCAAGATGATTTTGAAAGTGCACCAAGTCCAGGTTGGCCGAGAACACCCTCCAGCCCTGTAAGTAAATTAATTATTTGTTTTTTGTTCTGTGCTTAGAACTTCTAGACAAATTAGATAAGAAAAGAGAAAACTTAAAGTAAGTAAGAAGCTTAGAAGTTGATAACGTTTTAATGGTAAGTTACAATTATATAATGTCTGTGTTGAATATATTTGTTTGGTTTTTTTATCATAGTTGACAAATTTTTGGCATTATTCTCTACACGAAATCTTTTTCAAACTTTTATGATTTCAATTTTCACACTATTTCTATCAGTATTATATAACAACACTGGACTTTTTATAACACATGCAAAAAATAAACTGTTTTTTTTTTATTTCATTAGTCAGTATAGAAATCTTTTCTGCAGATGGGTGGAAAATGAAGGGAATTACTAATAAATTAATTTGAAAAATCGATTGGTTTTTCTTGTAAGTAAAAAATATGAGACTATCGAAAGCTTTAAAAAGTTTAGTATTTCACTTTTATGTCCTGAAATATTTGATAAAATAGTGTGATTTAAAATACAACATTTTGTGTTATGTAGAAGTTTGTTAGTATATTCTTATAAGTGGGGATGAATCTTTATGGTAATTTGTAGTTGTAATTTTCTATTTGTGTTTATAATGAATATTTTTATTAAGAAGTATTGTGTTATTTGTTGATTTTACAGTATAAAATATTTAAACACATTTACACTTGAATTAAATGTTTGTATCAATTTAAAACAGATGGAGAAATATGAAAACAGTACCATTTTTTCACTTGTGCTTTTATTATAAGTTTATTATAGTAAAATATTATTAGTTTCATCTAACATTTAACATGCTATTTGACATTACGAAGTGTAGTAATGTAAGTGCTTTCTAAATGAACATAACAGTTTACAAGTTGATTCTGTAGTAGGATATTATGTTTAAAAACTAAAAATGTTTATGTTGATATCTGATGTTGTGGGTTTTATTAATGGTGACAAGTACTGAACTACTCTAAAAAAAGCCTAATATACTAAATAGAAATAATGTAATTTTCGTGCTTCAAATAACTTTTTTTTCTCTTTAAAAATAACAATTTACCTTGTCAAACAGTGCAACTTTTTTACTCATTTTTTTAGTCTTAAGGGCTTTATTTAATCCTAAAATATTCACATTGAATGTATGTGTACTTTTGCATTGTTAAAACCAAGGAAATTAGTGGTGTATGAAATTGTTTCATAGCTACTGAACTGACATTGCTTAATATTGCAGTTATATTCAGATAAGCTTTTGAAATGAGTCTTATGAAAAAAAAAATTATATTCAGTACTTCAGTTTTTTTTATACTTACTTAAATTGCCAATTTCAAAAGAAATCCTGAAGAATAGTTACATGACTTACAACTTGTTAGAAACAAAATAAAGGTTTGTTAAAAACTTGCAGGTCAGTGACTGTTTTGTGTAATTTAAGTTACTAAGATGAAACTTTTTTATGATGTACATACTATTATTCCAAAAACTGAAATATGTCACTTTTCTACAGGTTGTAAACAGCCATGGATATGAATATAATATAAAGGTACTGGTTGTATTTATTTCTTTATAACAATATATAAAACAGCCATTTTCTCTCAAGCTATTATAATTGGAATTTAGCATAATTTGTTCTAGTGTTAATTTTTTATCTAGACATGTAAGGACTCAGCTGTTTAACTTAATTTAAAAAAAATTGCAAAATGAACTTGGATTGGAAGATAATATTGTTCATCTGTTTTATTATATGAAATATTTTCAATTAATGTGTATCCAGTTTACATAAGCTTACACAACTTGAGTTCTATTAAATAACTTAGACCGGAGGTTCCCAAACTGAGGACTGTGGGCCACAGGGGGCTGCAGTAAGTTGTCAGTTATTAAGGTACTCAGTATCTATAGGTTTATTAGGTGGGTTGGATCTCAGTCAAGATGTGAAATGTTCTTGGAGACCTTGTGCTGAGAAAGTTTGGGAACCAAATGACCTAAACTGTTTGTTACTGCTTTGTAATAACTACGAAATCTGTTATCAAGATACTAAATATGACGATAAAGATAACAAAAACATTATATCATGCAAATATTAAGCCTATATAACACAATTTCTGTAATAAGAGCTTTGACTTTTACCTTACATTACAGTAATTTCAAAAAAGTACTAACATTTTGCGAGCTCTTGACTTTTATTGTCTTATCAACTGCAGGTAATTATGTCTATAAATAAATTGCAGCTGATATATATATATATATATATATATATATATTATTTATAATAATTAATATATTATTTAGTTATTTGTTACTAACGTAGGTAACGAAGTTAAT